CTCACTGGCGTTTCCCTCTTTGACTGACACATTCCACCCTTTCTGTAAGAACCCTGGATAGTCCCAACTTTTGCACCAAAGGGTCACAGCAAAGACGACTGCTGACTCAGCCATCCTCTGTTGTCAGGGACAGACCTTCATCAAACTCTCCCCTGTTCCAACCCCTTTCTCACTGGCATCTGCGCGGCTCCCCTGACATCAGTATTTTCCAACCCCTAAATCCGGCAGCAATGAGAGAGGAAGTGCTGGTCGTCCAAGCAAAACATGCTGTGCACCTGACATTTAACCCTTTGCACAGGAAGAGCCACAGCCTTTCAGTCCACTCCCTGGAGCTCTGTTCCCTTATAAACACTTCTGCTTCCCTCCCTGTCTCATTACAAATGCCCTACCTCCCTCTGATGATGCTCACCAGCAAAGGAAGAGATCTGTGAAAGTCTCAGCTGTCGTGAAGAGTGCAAATATGATCCAGTACATCATCCATTTTACCTGAAAATTGAAATCAGTTGTTGTGTAACTATGTGGTTCTAGAAAGGCACAAATGTACAGTGAGGGTGTTTTACTCATCTGCGGTACAGCACCTTTTACCTGGGGATCTCAAAGTTCATCCCATCCACACTTGCCTGGGGATATTCCCGTGTGACAAGAAAGCCTCCGAAATCTGCCGTGCAGGTACCAGGCTTTGCCAGGTGACCCCAGCAAGTTGTCACATACGTGCCTCCCACTACACAAGTCAGAGACATGCAGAAGCCCACGTGAAGAAGAACTGTGTTCCTTAGCATCCTTTTAACCCAAAGACAAAGCATCCCGATTCACTGCTCAGATTCTGCCAGGAGTTTCGGCTGCAGCATTGCTGCCTGGCTGAGAAGGTGATTTAGACACATAGTTTGATAACACTAGAACATACAGCTGATGCCATATAACAGTGTTCCTCAACCTTTTTTTTTTTATAAAATACCCCTTTTAAAAAATTATAAGTACCCCCAGTTCCTAGTTTTCAGACACACATCTTTTTTCCTATTATTGCAACACATTCGTTTAAACAGCTTAATCATAGCCAGGCGGGCGACGACATTTTTGGGTGTAAAAAGTACAAAAATAATAAAGCGCTGTAAAACTTAGATCAAGAATGTTCTCCAAATTTCAGTTGTGTTGACGTGCCCCCCAGACTTCTCTCAAGTACCCCTAAGCCTAAGAGTACTCGTATCAATGGTTGAGAAACACTGCCATATAACGTCCCGCTTCATCTGCAAATCCAAGTACAATCCTGCTATCATGTTACCTTGTGCTGTGATCCCATCAGCTCATGCCCTAAAATCAGGGTTAGGTTAGATCAATACATGGATGAAAGATTGCCAGGAAAAGATGCTTATGATGCACTAGCTCGCACTCTTGAATAAGCATCAGCTTACCCAAGTTGGCTGGCAGGCAGAGGTTTGCTATCGATGCTCTCTCAGATGACATATGTAATCCACACCTACTCAGTGTAACATACGGCCGCAGAAAGAAGTGGGTGAGCCTGCTGCGGCCTTAGCTAACAGAGGTGGGTCTTTTAGCTTAGGCAGTAAGTAGAGGCTTTTAGCTTTGGAGGTCAAGGCTGTTGCAGGCTCATCAACCTCTATATAGGGACCAGCTATGACAAGAGGGAGTCAGAGTCCCATACAGAATGGGTGGGGGTTACTCATACATAGTTGTGATCCTAACCATTTGTGGGTAGAGGTCCCCTGGGACTTGATATAAGAGAAGGGAGGTCAGCTGTAGTGTCTTTGTAGTTAGGCAAAACAGGCTTAACTTATCTAAATACTCTATGACAGGGTAAAAAAGCCAGCAAGGTGTTACCAGCTACCTGTCTGTTCTATGACTCTGCAAGGTTTTCAGGGAAAAGCACTTTTTCTTTCTGGTGGCTGAGAGAGGCAAGAGCCTCAGACCTTGTTGGTCAGGGAATTGCTTTATTTTGAGTTCTTTATGTGTTAGGGTGTTTGAACATAAAATTGTGTCTTGAGGCAGGGGTATGAAATGGATTCGGGGTAATACTCATTTTTCTCCTTGGCTGACGAGATAGCCCACCAGCTAACATGCCCCTGCCACTTCAACGGACACAACATTCTTCTTAATTTCCCACCTTAAACCATATCACAGTGTTGTTGCATCACACCCAGAGGTGGTTGCTTTTTGGTTGTGGTCAGGAAACACATTTTCCATCTCCAGAGATGATGTTAATAACGATGGAGGGGTTTTTAAAGTTTTCACTGAAAAACTGGAAGGCTGAAAACTTCTTGGGTTTTTGTTTGTTCTGATTTTTGGCAACAAAAACACAAAATGCTTTAACCAGTTGGGTGAATATTTTTTGTTTCACTGAAAATTTTTGCCTGACTGGCTGAATTTTTTCAGTTGACAAAAACAAGTCAAATGTTTTTTTTCAATACATTGTTGAATATGATATTTCCCAGAGATAGTCCCATTTTGCCAAAAAAGCCATTTTTTAATTGAAAACTATATTGTGAACAAAATCGTGTGACCAGCTCCCCTCAGGACACCTTAGGAACCTCACAGAGGTGCTACTAAGCTTAATTAAGCAATACTTGTAAAGCACTTCAAGGGTACGTCTAAACTACATGGCTCCATTGACGGAGCCATGTAGATTTGTTTGTTCGGCAAAGGGAAAGAAGCTGCGATTTAAATAATCGCAGCTTCATTTAAATTTAAATGGCTGCCGCGCTGAGCCGACAAACAGCTGATCAGTAAACCTCATCCTACGAGGCATAACGGGGAGGTCGATAAAGGGCTTTCAGGTCGGCATGGGAGCGTCCAGACTAGTGCGCTGA